GGATGTGTATTTATAGGACGTTAGATTGGAAGAAGAAGGGGTTTCAGGCACGTACCTCTCCCAAAACTTCAGTTATAACGTAACTACATTTGTTTTTGTGGCGCAGTAACATAGACCACTGTGGTCGTGTGGTCATTCTGTAGTCTACACCATGCTCTTATGCCCATATTAGGAACTCCGGGTCTAAGCCCCATTTCTGATATGAGGAGGTTTCTCTATTTCTGCTTAACAGCTGAGTAACATTAACTTATTTTTGCTGTTTCACAGAACCGGCAGGTCAGTATTTTGTCTCGTTTGCTAATGTTTGTGATAGCTAGTCACAGCTGCTGCACCATTTAAGGTGGAACGGGAACAAGAAGCTGCGAAAAAAGAAGCTAAATTCAGCCTTGTAGTTTAACACAGGTAGTGTTTTAGGAGTTTTAGTCTATCAGAATATCCCACCCAGAGGTTTTATTAATGGGTTTACCTGTAATTATCCACTACTGTAGATCATTTTGATAAGGTAGAACAGCTGGTCAGAGCAGCGGCACAGCCCTCCTTAGTTTTGTGTAGCTTAGTGACATCAAATTGATGCGCAGTAGCTTTAGCTCCCTTGTAGCAATATTAGTATTAAGGCTTTTTAACGACCTCGTAATTCAGAGGATCCAGTGATGTTGGGGATAAAAATATTCACAGGACAAAACGTATCGGGTTCTGAACATTTGAATTTAACACAGGGGGCGCTAGAGGCGATTTTTCGTAAACCCTATTCATTCTGGCCATAGAGAAATGGGGCTCAGACCCGGAGTTCCTAATATGGGCATAACGAGGACTACAGAATGACGCATCACTACAGTGGTCTATAGATCGTTGTTCGGGAGGGAGCGGGAGCCCACATTACGTTGCAGTGCATGCTGGGAACTGTAGTGCAGTTCATGGCGAAATGGGCTAATATTAATAGAAAATTAAAATAAGTTTGCAGGCTGAATAGGATTGTGTCACAGGCCTGATGTGGCCTGCACACCTTGTATTTGACACGTGGTACTTAAGTAATTGTACTTTGCTACTGTCATTTTAGAGGAATTGTATTATTGTAATTGAATATTTGTACTTTTTACTCCTTATATTTTCTTATATTTAGACTTTGAAAAGAACTCATTTCAAATCTCAAAGACTGTGAGATTTCCCTCATTCATATTTCTCTTATCAAATCAGTCATATTTCTGTAGATTTCTCATTTTTTTGTACTTAAACTTCCAGTCAATCTGTAGTGTGTGTGTGTATTTGTGTTGTAGTCATGGCGACCCCTGCTTCAAATCACCACCACTGTAAAGAAATGTAGAGCATATCAAGCATTACTGAGTTCTGGCTCTTAATTTGGTCAGTTAAACCGTATACCTGAGCGTGTTTTAATGTAGATAAGTTCACTTTCACTCATATCTTTGCTCTATGCTTCCACTTTGAGTTGAATAAGATTTTAACACAGTGCCAATACTTTAAAAGAGCTTCAGTTCTTTGATTCTTGTAGCTCTAAAAGTTATTACAGTCCTGCAGCAGCAGATGGCAGCAGTGCTCATCTCTCATCTCTCTGTCTCATTCACAGCTTTAACACTGTGCTAAAAAGCCCAGTGACCTAAATGACAAGTCTACAATTATTACTTTAACCTACGGCACTAAAGGCTTATTATTCAGTTATTAATCTTAAGACTGACACTCTTAAAAAGGATGGTTCTTCAAGGGTTCTAATCCTAAGCTTATTATATACTAAGGCTTATTGTTCAGTAACTACAGAGACTTCAATGCAAACTGGTTGAGCTATTCTTAGACTATAACAGTGTGTAATAACACTTTGGGCCCACTGGTGGGTTCTGGGTGTTTAAAGGGTTGATAAAGAAAATGGTTCTATATACACTCAAGTACCCCTTAGCATGATTAAAGAGTTCTTTCCATCATGAAAGAGTTCTTCAGATTAATGGAGAATCTGTTGTAAATGGTTCTATATAGAGCTTTTTGAAAAGGATATAGCACCAAAAGTGTTCTGCTATTGTTACGATGCCAAGCTTGTCACAATAGCAGAACCCTTTTGGTTCTATATAGAACCCTTTTCATAAGTCTCCTATATAGAACCATATGCAACACATTCTCCATCAATCTGAAGAACCCTCATGCAAAGAGTTCCGCGAGTGTTCATGGTTCTATATAGAACCATTTCCTTTATTAAAGAACCGTTGAAGAACTATCTTTTTTAAATGTGTACTATTCAATATCTACTATGAATTATGCAGTGTCTATTATAAATTATACCAGATCTATGAATTATTCAGCACCTAACATGGACTATTCAGTAACTACTACAAATGATTTAGTATCTAATATGAAATATTCAGTTTTAACTATGAATTATTCAGTATCCTCTATAAATGCTTCAGTAAAATATAAATTATTCAGTGTGTCATATAAAACATGCAATATCTACGAAGTATTATTCAGTCACTACTATAAATATTTCAGCATCTACTATGAATTAGACAGGAACTACTATGTTATGTTAAGTAGTTCTAAAACTTTGTAATTCAGTGTGTGAGATGTAAACAGAGAGATTCAGAGTGGTTTGGTGTGAAATGATTCAGATGTCATTACAGTGGTGGTGATAGAAACCAGGGGTCACCATGACAACAACACAAATATAGACATTTTTTTATTTACTATCCAGAACCACCAGTGAACCTACACGGAGCTCTTAGAGGTGGACTTTCCTATCACCACCACTGGGAACAGTTCTGACTCAGTAAGTTTCCCTAGAACAGAGCGTTTCACACCAAACCACTCTGAATGACTCTGATTACATCTTAAACATTTCATTATGTAGAAATTAAAAAAAAAAATGGTGGAATTTCCCTTTAATAAGGCAGGCCAACTGGATTTGTGGTTTAACCTTTTTTAACGTTTTATATGGAATATTGATGCTGGCAAAATAGTGGAAAATCTGAAATAATTAGACTATTTGGCCTCATAACACAATGCATGTTCCCCTAAAAATAGGTTTTAATTTTCTAAAAACTTTAGCCAAGGCAACTTTAAGCAGCTTCCATACACTCTGGTCACTCAAAGTGCTTTAAAAATACAAATATAAACACAAAGATAATCTAAATTATGGTTTAAAAAGTAACGTACAGTAAAGGAGAATAGGAATAAAAATCTGTTTAAAACATTATTAAACAATAAATGTTAAGAGAAGAAATGAATCATTAAATTAAAATCAAATTTCAAATTAAATTAGGATAATAAAGCGCCGTTACAGGAGAGAAGTGCAGTAGAGCTAACAGTGCTGTAAACTTAGTAACAGGTATAATAAAACAATGTCTCAGCATATTCATAACCGTTTCATGTAATACCTTAAAATAGTTTATGTCAATATTTTTCTCTAAAGACTCCTGTTACTAAGTGTGTTTACATGAACACCCCCTTCTTTCTCAGTGTGTCATCAAAACATGCCAGAATGTTCTAGCAGTTTAAAGTCACTCAGTTACGTAAGAGAGTCACTTGTGTAATTGTGTGAGTGAGTCAGGTGTGGGAGTGTGAAACTCAGTGCTGGTTTGCTGGGCTGTTTGCTGCACCGCTTAGGGCATTTCGAGTGATGATGAGGGGAGTGTTTCTGGACAGGCCACACCCACAGAGCTAGATTAGCTTCCTCATGTCTCTGTGCTGGATTATGTTACCACTGCCTCTGAGTTACAGTGTGCAAATCCATCATATAAAAGGTTCTGGTGCCTCAGCGTTCAGGACTTCTGAAAAACAGACACTTTAGGCATGACGGAAGCAACAGTGGTGAAAATTAGTCAGTGCCCCTGAGCTGCTTCTGTGCCAGGACAGTACTGAGATACTGATATCTGTAAAAATGGACACAAGTGCGGACAAAACCAGGCGTTTAATACTGTTTTCAGCTATGTGACGTATGTTTGTCCATCTTTATCGATAACAAGTAAGTCATATGGTGTTCAAAACCACATAAGGAAGTCTATTAGATATTACTTAAAGCTGAATTTCACTGATCTATTTTCAAAAATTCCCCATAATTCAGTGGTTGAGATGTCATTCAGAGTGGTTCGCTGTGAAACAGTTGATTTTAGAGGCTCAAGTTTCTTTACAGTGGTGGTGATGGGAACCAGACGTCACCTCGTCTACAGCACAAATGTAGACATTTTATTTACTATCCAAAACCACGAGTGAACCTACAGGCGTTTTTATATGTAATGTTGATGATGGTAAAATAGTGGAAAATCTGTTTTTCTCTGGGGACTGTTTTGCCTAACAACACCCTGCACGTATCCCTCCGCCATGAAGAGTTTAAAAAAATAAGCTTCAGGACAAAATCTTAGATCTGTCTTAGACATTGTAGTAACTTTCTGTGAGGGAGCTTTTAGAGGTGGACGTCTGGTTCCTATCACCACCACTGTGAACAGTTCTGACTCTGTAAGTTTCTCTAGAACAGAGCGTTTCACACCAAACCACTCTGAATGACTCTGTTTACACCTTAAACATTTAATTGTGCAGAAAATTTAGGCTTGCGGTTAGCATGATGCTAATTGCTTCCATTACGTTTTAGCTACATTAGATATTTTTGCCAAACTAAAACGATTTCAGTCCTGATTTGTGCAACCTGGTTGCCATTCCATGACTCTCATATTAAATCTGCATATTCAAATCATTCACTCATTTGGTTATTGAATGTTTCCAGGACGAAAGCCAAAACTGCTTTAAGTGTGACTGACCACAGCGTCTTCATTCTCAAGGGTTCAGAAGTGAAGTTTCCCCAAGCTAATGCTGATCAGTCTGAATGGGAGATTGTATTTCAGCCCCTGCTCTGCTCTCTTTGTTAACATGACACCTTCCTCTCTTCCCACCCTCACCGATCCCGTCCACAGACAACACCTGGAGGGGTGTGTTCACAGGTGAGGGAGTGGTTTTACTTTAAAAAGTTTCACTTCCACACTTCACACACACATTCCCCAGCAGACAGCGGCAGGAACGGAAGCATCACAAAGGCCTCGCCAGCTGGAGCTCAAAGCCACCATGAGGTCTCAGGAGAACGGAACAGGAGGAGAGGAACCACTAGCAGAGACCAGGACTGGAGAAGAAGAGCAGACGATACAGAAAAACACCCAGGAGGAGCCACAGAAGCATGGAGATCCGGGTGGAAGAGAGGACGAGCCTCCAGGTAGTGATAATCATCAAAATCAAACATTTTTTCTATGTTGATAATGTGCACTTGACATGCCGTTCTCAGTATTAGCAGCAAAGGCTTGGATCTGGATGGTCCTCTAATGTTAATTTTCAACTTGATCACAGGGAAATTGCATTTGAACAGCTGATAATGTGATAAATACAAGTGAAAACTTGACACATTCCATGTTATCCAGGTTGTGTCACCAACTACTACATTCTATGAGTGCTTGCAGTGAGAAAAGTCATTGGTTAATTAAAGTAAATATGTGTTCACATGATAGAAGTAACACTTGCTGATGACTCCCCAAACTAATGATTATGATTAGGTGAGAAATTTCCTGTTAACTTGCTCTGTTAATAGAGACTGAGAAGAAGTGTAGCCATTCACTGGTGACAGCTCAAACCAGCGGGACAGTTAGGAGAGATAAAGATAGAGTGAGTTTCAGTGTTGGAGACTAAAATAAAGACCAGAATTTGGAGCAAAACATCTCAGAAGAAGAGAAGAAGTTGGTATTATCATTGAAATTAAAGCAGCTCTAGGTAAGATATGGGGATTTGGGGACCTCTCTGGTGAAAATGTGTAATTACACACAACATTTGTGAGCATGTTGAAAGAGAATTCAAAGAGAACTCAGTCTAAACTTGGTGAAGGAGCGTCTTCTGAGGATGTGAGTGAATTATCTATTGTTGTCATCACATCTTCATCAGTATGATGTTGATTTTGAGATCATTTGAGACCGAAACATCGAGGTTGGACCTTCTTTTTGAGTCTGTGTGTGATGTTAATACGTAAAGACGTACGACTCAATGCCTCTGACTTTTAAATGATTATTTCAGCAGCGCATGCTCACCATATTTTAGTATGTTTTTGATTCAATAATGCTACTTCTTTCAGCTTTAACCAAATTTCTGAGAGCAGTTTTAATAAGTTATTATTGCATATAAAATAAAATATAGTGGTTTTTGGAAGTGACTCTTGAACTATTCCCATTTCAAGCATTTTGTTCAAAATACATGACTTTTCAAAGACTTGCAATCACATTGTTTAATAATATAAAACCAAGATATATTATATTTTGTTGCACATAAATGTATAAATTGATTCTACAGAATAGAATAGAATAGAATAGAATAGAATAGAATAGAGTATTCTAAAATAACTGAGGATTATAACAAAGTTATAATATAAAATACACAAAATTACACAAATACACAAAAAAGATATGATAAAATAAAAATAAATAAATAAAATAAATTAATATCGAAAAAGAAGTTCTAATAAAGTTAATATCCAGAATGCCTTATATTTGGTGAGCAAAGCTTGAGAAGAAATTCCTATAAATAGAAAATCAGCCGTCCATTATTTAATAAATTCTTGTTTTTTCCAAAATGCTTGACACATTGAAAAATATAAAAAATGCCTCTGAGGTCTACTTTAAATTTTTCAGTCTATACTGTATAAGTTATTATTGAATAAAATAACATTTAACTAATTTGACATGATGATCAAGTGATTTTAAACTTTTATTTGGGAGTATAGGCTACTGTTCAGTCTTGACATTGAGTATTTGGAAATAATTATCAATATCAAATCACTGAAAAATATGTGGTGATAAGAAATGTTGGCTGTATTGTTCATCTCTGCTTTCAGGCGAGGATGATGTGGTGTGTGACTCGTGCATTGAGAGCCCACGCCGGGCGAAGAAGTCGTGCCTGACCTGCCTGGTGTCGTACTGCGAGGCCCACCTGAGGCCCCACCTGGAGAATGCGAAGTTCCAGAGCCACAGGCTGGTGGAGCCTCTGAGGGACGTAGAGACTCGCATGTGTGAAACCCACGACTCCCAGCTCGAGCTGTACTGCTGCGTGGACGCCTGCTGTGTGTGTCAGGAGTGTGTATCAGGGGAACACCAAGGACACGACACACTGCCCATCACAAACGCACGCCGCAAGATTGAGGTACAGCAACAACGTTCTCCATTTCACTTTTCTCTGTCATCCCTCCTTATACTGTACACTTAAAGACACTACAGAGCAGCACCAGCTGTTATCGGTTCCTTTAGAACTCTCTCTGCATTAGTTTCTCCTTCTTAATGCACACAGACACACTCTACTCTTTCATTGATCAGTGTTATGAGTCATTAGCAAACTTCACATGTCTTCACACTCCTGAATGTGTTGCACTCTAACCGCTGACAGCATCAGTGCTGCTGTGCAATTACGCCCCCTTAATCAGCCAGCTTTAGATGTTCCTCTGATCAAACGAATGGATGATGAATGGATTAACAAGATCTCAAGATACAACCATCCATTCACACATGATGAAGGGCCACCTTCCTTTGTCTACTGCAGGAGAGTGGATTAGGACAGGACTAATCAGTGTGGTGTTATTAATGTTGAGTAACTGAGCTGAGTTTGCATTTGAGGCTGTGATTGTGTGTGTTTTATGGTCATTTATACAGCTGGACTGTGTTGGGGTTGGGGTGACTGTGTTGTTGTGTGGTGTTGTGTTAGAGTTTGGAGTAGAGATCAAGGTTATGATGTTTTTAAATTCGAGGTAGAGGTAAGGGTTGTGTTGTGCTAGGAATTAAATAGAGATTTAACAGTTTGTTGGTAGTTGGGGTAGAGATTAGGGAGATTTGTTGAGATCAGGGTGCTGTGTTGGGGTTTGGTGTAGAGATCAGGGTTACTGGGTTTGGTGTAGAGATCAGGGTTACTGGGTTTGATGTAGAGATCAGGGTTACTGGGTTTGGTGTAGAGGTCAGGGTTACTGGGTTTGATGTAGAGATCAGGGTTACTGAGTTTGGTGTAGAGATCAGGGTTACTGGGTTTGGTGTAGAGATCAGGGTTACTGGGTTTGGTGTAGAGATCAGGGTTACTGAGTTTGGTGTAGAGATCAGGGTTATTGGGTTTGATGTAGAGATCAGGGTTACTGGGTTTGGTGTAGAGATCAAGGTGATGTGTTTGGGTTTGGTGTAGAGATCAGGGTGACTGGGTTTGATGTAGAGATCAGGGTTACTGGGTTTGGTGTAGAGATCAGGGTGATGTGTTTGGGTTTGGTGTAGAGATCAGGGTTACTGGGTTTGGTGTAGAGATCAGGGTTACTGGGTTTGGTGTAGAGGTCAGGGTTACTGGGTTTGGTGTAGAGATCAGGGTTACTGGGTTTGATGTAGAGATCAGGGTTACTGGGTTTGGTGTAGAGATCAGGGTGATGTGTTTGGGTTTGGTGTAGAGATCAAGGTGACTGGGTTTGATGTAGAGATCAGGGTTACTGGGTTTGGTGTAGAGATCAGGGTTACTGGGTTTGGTGTAGAGATCAGGGTTACTGGGTTTGGTGTAGAGGTCAGGGTTACTGGGTTTGGTGTAGAGATCAGGGTTACTGGGTTTGGTGTAGAGATCAGGGTTACTGGGTTTGGTGTAGAGATCAGGGTGATGTGTTTGGGTTTGGTGTAGAGATCAGGGTGATGTGTTTGTGTTTGGTGTAGAGATCAGGGTGACTGGGTTTGGTGTAGAGATCAGGGTGACTGGGTTTGGTGTAGAGATCAGGGTGATGTGTTTGGGTTTGGTGTAGAGATCAGGGTGACTGGGTTTGGTGTAGAGATCAGGGTGACTGGGTTTGGTGTAGAGATCAGTGTGACTGGGTTTGGTGTAGAGATCAGTGTGACTGGGCTTGGTGTAGAGATCAGGGTGACTGTAGATTAAGGTGATATTTTGGGGTTTTGGGTAGAGATTAAGGTGATATTTTGGGGTTGTGGGTAGAGATTAGGTTTTTTTTTTCTTTAATTTGGATTGAGATTAGTGTGATGTGTTTCCATTTAGACACAGATTCCAGAGATTTGGGTAGAGACCAGACTGAAGTGTTATGATTTAGGTTTGGGTTTTGGTTACTTTATTTGTACCCATAGGTAAATTTGGTTTGTAGTAGACGGGTCAACATCCGTCCTGACACACATTTTACAGACACCACATACAACTGACAACTCACAAACATAAAGAGTACACAAGGTTCCAGTCCTCTGTGCAATGTCACTACAACCTGTTCATCTGAGTAATGGCTGCATTTCAGGACTATAAACCTACGTCCAGAGGGAAGAAGCTGAAATACAGTGTTCAAAGAATGGGAGTCATCACATAAAATTAGGTAGAGATTAGGATGGTGCATTGGTACTTGGGTGGAGATTAGGGAGAATTGTTAGCATTTGAGTAGATATTAGGGTGATGTGATTTGAGTAGAGATTAGGGGGATGTGATTTAGGTAGAGATTAGGGGGATGTGATTTAGGTAGAGATTAGGGGGATGTGATTTGAGTTGAGATTATGATGCTGTGGTTTGGGTAGAGACTATGGAGATTTGTTGGGAAGTAGTTAGAGATTAGGGTTTAGCATTGGGATTTGGAGCACACATATGGGTGATGTGGTTTGTAGTAAAACCAGAGCTGTGCTCTTTTTGGAGTTTGATATGAAGGTAACACTGTGGTTTGGGGTTTTAGGGTAGAGGTCAGTGTGATGGTCGATTGGGGTTTGTTGGAATATTGCTGTGATGTGTATATGCAGCTCTTTTACTGCCCTGTTGTGGCTCCACAGCTGAATCAGATTTGTAGGTAAAAATAAAATAATCCTCCTTTACAGTAAAATAAAGCTCTGCTGATCGTTCAACACAGTTTAACAATAAATGATCTTAAACTCTGGAATTAATGTAGCCTATAACTGCTAGTTCACCTAGCTAGTAGCTAATGATATGGCAAAAAGAAAGATTTAAAACGAACATCGATAATCTAGAGACTTGAATGGTGCAACAGTTACATTCGGGCGCCTCAGGCACCATCAAATGTTGAGAGACAATTTACAAGAAGCTATTCCACTTTGGAGTAAAGGTTTCCTGCTGGAGATGCGAGAAAAGCGGCTGTAGCTGAGCTAAAGCTTAAAACAGAGCAAACTTAGTAACTTATTTTTTTGCCTATACTAGGACATCAGCACATACTGAGACATGTTTACAGTCAAAATGGTAAAACGGTACTTCAGTAAAATGGATATAAAATGTTGTGGCTCCCAAGGTGGTTTGATTTTTATTGAGAGGACAAAATAGCTCTTCTCAACATGTGGGTTGCGACCCCTGGTCTATTATAATAGAAACACTATATATGTAATAGTTACACAGATTTAACCTTCAGATACACCTGGAGATCGGATTCAGTAACGGAGGAATAAGCGCAGAAAGAATTCACAGATCCTCTGAAGATGTCATCTCGTTCTAAAGTGCAAAGAATGCCTTTAACCTAGTTCCCCCGCGGCTGTCGGCTCTGTGTGGACCTGCTTGGGGAATGCAGGCCCTCCCACACAGCATTAGCACATTCCGCAAAGATCAGAAACACAGATACTACAGATTATCACCTGTGACACCATGCAATGTATATGTCACTGCTGAGGGCTGTGAGACCCTTAGCACATGGCGTGTGGTCAGTAGTGGCCACCAGTGAGTGTGGCATTCATATCTATCTTCTTGAAAACCAGCTTGACTGAAAAGGGTCTAGAAACAATAATCAAAGAACTTCACCTACAGTAGATACATATTGCCGATCCTTTCGCGTCATCGCTTGCTTTTGCGAAACTATACCAGATCTGTGTGCATTTGTATTTCCACAGAAAGAGCTCCAGGAGAAGCAGACCGAGGTGACAAAGACAGTAACAGCAGCAGAAAACTCTGCCAACAATCTACAGAGCAACATTCTGGCTGTAGAGGTACAGTTACATTCGCTGTCTTTCAGGAACTGTTGTGAGATGTAATCAGAGTGATTCAGAAAGGTTTGGTGTGAAATGGTTCAGATGTCTTTACAGTGGTGGTGATAGGAACCAGGAGTCGCCATGACTACAACACAGATATAGACATTTTATTTACTATCCAGAACCACCAGTGAACCTACACGAGTCTTCTGAGTTTTATATGGAATGTTGATGATGGAAAATAATGAAAAGTCTGCTAAAATATTTTTTCTTTTGCCTCACAACACCCTGCATGTATCCCTCCGCTGAAAAAAAAGGTCATCAGCTATCACAAAACAGTGTCTCAGTCATCAGGCAGTGAATTCATAACCATTTCATGTAGTAACTTTCTGTGAGGGAGCTTTTAGAGGTGGACGTCTGGTTCCTATCACCACCACTGTGAACAGTTCTGACTCTGTAAGTTTCTCTAGAACAGAGCGTTTCACACCAAACCACTCTGAACCGCTCTGTTTACATCTTAACCACTTAATTATGCAGACATTTAGGAAAAAATGGTGGAATTCCCCTTTAAGCCTAAAATCAGGCCTGTCCAAATAGGAAAAGAGGTCACAGATGTTTCTTTTGAGCCAACTATTCTACCTTCCTACAAAAATGAGTTAAATGGAGATCATTGTTTCTTTCATTAGCAGCTGATTTTTGGTAGATCAGTGTGAGGCTTTGAATACTGGAGCATTTCACACCAAACCTCTCTGAATGAGTCTGTTTACATCTGACCCATTTAATTATGCAGAAATTTAGAAATATTGGAGTTACTCCTTTTAATGAGGCAAGCCGACTGGGCTTGTGGTTTAATCTTGTGCTTCACTGGTGTCACACATTCTTCAGTGTGCCACAGGTTTCTGTGCTGGTCACAGCTAATTATAGCAGCATAACGTTAGCAAACCGCTGATTCATACATGTGCATTCATTGCCTCTGCGTAACAGCGACAGACACCCTGTCATTTTGGGATTGCACTTGCTCAGAGCTCAGGAATGGCACTCCACCTCAGTACCCAGCCTTTCTCAGATAAAGACACTTTTTAAGATGCATCCTGACTGGCTGGGCGTGTCAGTGTTTCTCCGGAAGCTTATGTGATGATATGAAGGCTAATCTGCTTCGCAAGAACCTCCAAATCTTAACTGAATGATGTTTTTGGTATATAAACTCACACAAACATTATGATTGGTTCTATAATAACTTATTAGTGTTCAGAACTGAATATTGAATAAATCATGTAAAAATACATTCGTCTAGTTCATGATATTGAAAACTGCACTGTATAAGTTTTTACTGTATCTAAAATAAGTTCATACTTTTGAACAGTGAAGTATATTTTGGTCAACGTGTCTTTCAGTGGTCATTTTTATATCACATTTCCACACAAATGAGTAAAAACTGTATATATATATATATATTATATATATATATATATATATATATATATATATATATAAAATGTGTATATCCACACTGTTTAAATATTTAAAGAAATGAAACTTCATCTATGCCTGAGAACCTTCCAGACACGTCAGACTGAAACCGGTGCTGATGAGTCCAGCATTCAAAGCCTCACATTGATCTACCAAAAATCAGCTGCTAATGAAAGAGACAATAATGACCCTGGTTTAACTCATTTTTGTAGGTGGGTAAAATAGAAACATCACTGACCTCTTTTCCTATTTGGACAGGCTTGAGTTTAGGCCTAAAGGGGAATTCCACCATTTTTTCAAAATTTCTGCAAAATTAAATCATTGTGATGTAAACAGAGTCGTTCAGAGTGGTTTGGTGTGAAACGCTCCGTTCTAGATAAACCTACTGAGTCAGAACTGTTCACAGTGGTGGTGATAGGAACCAGACGTCCACCTCTAAAAGCTCCCTCACAGAACGTTACTACATGAAATGGTTATGAATTCACTGCCTGATGACTGAGACACTGTTTTATTTTTTTTTTGTAATTATAATTATAATTTTATTTGACTTATTTCATGGCAGAGGGATACATGCAGGGTGTTGTTAGGCAAAATAGTCTCCATAGAAAACTGATTTAATCAGACTTATCATTATTTTACCATCATCAACATTCCATATAAAACTCAGAAGAATCGTGTAGGTTCACTGATGGTTTTGGATAATAAATAAATTCTCTATATTTGTATTATAGACATCAGGGCCCCCAGTTCCTATCCCAGGGCTCTGCTTCATGGGTGATTAACAATCACTAATCATTCCTAATCATTTCATATCAAACTACTCTGAATAATTTTGTTTATTCAACTAAATTGAATTGTGTAGAAATTTTGAAAACTTGCTGTAATTCCCCTTTAGGCTCTCTGGCTAACTTTCTTTGAAAACCACTCTTCTACAGAAATGAGAGCTTTTTGTTTTTGTTTGTGTTTTAGAGTTTTGAGAGAGATTAGATTTCTGCAGAACGTTAAAGGGGTCTGTGTTTGTGATCTAGTCCCGCTTACAGTCCTGCTGACCTGCATTCCTGCCTCTTACGAGTCTGTGCATGTGTGTTTGTGTGCTCAGGCGTGTGTCCAGGACATCCGTGCTGTGCTGCAGCAGCAGTTCTCCGCGCTGCAGGCGGCTGTGGAGCAGGTCCGAGCTGAGCTGCACGAGGCGCTGGAGGCCGAGCAGCAGCACACTGTCGCTCAGGCCCAGGGCATCCGGCAGCACCTGGAGCAGCACTGCGCTGAGCTGAAGAAGACACACACACACCTGGAGAAAATCACCAAGAACAAGAACGACGTAGACTTCCTCCAGGTACCAGCAGTTCTGTGTGGCTGTGTGGAAATAAACAGCACTGTGCAAAAGTCTTAGACCTTCTGAGACAATGATATATAAAGCTATTCATCTGGGGACGTAAACATTTCATTGTTCAAAAAACACTAATATTACAAATACAGTAAGACTTTGAGAAACACACATTGGGGTCTTGCTCTGTGTTTAATGAAGCCCAAATTAGACACTTCTCACTGGTTTATTTACTATGTGTTAAGCGCTGTTCATACTGACCTGTATCAGTGTGTAATTGGAGCTCTGTTTGGTGAAAATCACTAGTTTTAGTTGTGCTAATTCAAGTTAACCACTGAATTCACACCATATTAGTGTATAATCGGCAGCACTTAATTCCTACAGGTTCTAGATAGTGTGCGTAGCCACAACTTAATTCGGCATGAGAATGAGATAATTAAATTGTGGCCATGACTTAGTAAGACAAGGAACGAGATCATGCCTTATTAAGCTGTAGTCAAGGTATAATTACCTCGTTCCCATGTCTAATTAAGGTGTGGCCACGCATTAGGATCTCATTCCCATGCCCTTACTAAGTTGTGGCCATGACTTAATTATCTCATCCCATGCCTTACTAAGTTGTGGCCACGCATTAGGATCTCATTCCCATGCCTTACTAAGTTGTGGCCATGACTTAATTATCTCATCCTATGCCTAATTAAGTTGTGGCCACGCATTAGGATCTCATTCCCATGCCTTACTAAGTTGTGGCCATGACTTAATTATCTCATCCCATGCCTTACTAAGTTGTGGCCACGCATTAGGATCTCATTCACATCCCTTACTAAGTTGTGGCCATGACTTAATTGTCTCATTCCCACACCTTACTAAGTCATGGCCATGCGTTAGTATCTCGTTCCACACCTTACTAAGTTGTGGCCATGACTTAATTGTTTCGTTCCCATGCCTTACTAAGTCGTGGTCATGCATTAGTATCGCGTTCCCATGTCTTACTAAGTAGTGGCCATGACTTAATTATCTTGTTCTCACACCTTTCTAAGTCATGGCCACACGTTCCACACCTTACCAAGTTGTGGCCATGACTTAATTATCTCGTTCCCACATCTTACTAAGTCGTGGCCACACATTATCTTTATTTATACGGGACGTCACTCTCAGCGCTCCGTATGAAACTAACTTTTCTAAACTAAATAATCCCAGCTTGTATGTTTTTGGCCCCCGAAAAGCCATGAAATGATCTTTCCTTCAGAACACAGCCTGTTTAAGTGTACAGCGTATGAAGTCAATAATAAAGAGAGGATTTTAATAAATAGAACCACACAAACATCAGGAGTGAATCTCAGGGGTCAGAATAAAGTAGAAAAATGAAGAATATGGACCCTTTAAACCCCGAAAACAAACTGAATGCTGATTACTTAAAAGAAAGAGAGTGAAAAGTAAATTATTCACTAGTACATGCAAAAGTTTTCGGCGCCCCTGTCCAAATTCCATGTTTTTGCTGATTTTCCAAAAGAAAATAAGTTAAAACATCCTCTGCAGAGACACACTTCAGCACAATTTAATACACAACTACTGTTCATTTGCTGAATTCAACAGCAACTGGGCTAAAGTTATGGTTTATAAGTTATATTTGTTTCCAATATGTGAAACTCAGCAATTAATTAGAAACTAAACTTTGCATAAAAGTGCCATATTTAAGTGTATAAACATGTAAACATGTGATCTCATGAGGAGTGTTCAAACTTTGGTGTACGTCTGTATATCTGAATAGAAGCAAAAGGATTGAAAAGTTTTGAAAAATTGCACATCCATCAAAATAAGATCATTAATGAGTGTGTGTGTGTGTGTGTGTGTGTGTGGTGTGTGTGTGTGTGTGTGTGTGTGTGGTGTGTGGTGTGTGTGTGTGTGTGTGTGTGTGTGTGTGGTGTGTGTGTGTGTGTGTGTGTGTGTAGGAGTACTCTCAGTGGAAGAAGAGCAGCCGTGACGTGTGTGTGCCTGCAGTGTCTGTCAGCCTGACGGACCACCTGCAGTCCTTCAGCCGCATCATCACAGACACCACCCAGCAGCTGTGTGACAGCGTGCTCACCTCCTACCGCAGCACCCTCAAACAGGCCTGCTTAAACGGTCAGTCCACCGGCCACAGCACGTCAACACAGACACGACCGTTCAATCATGTTTTTCAACAATATAAAGCTGAACTGGCAGTGGATAAATACATAAGATGATTTTATCTGAGCATCATGACCAACTTTACAGGTTTCAGATATTCAGTACAATGCTGGGAAACTGTAAATCATCATCATCATCATTTTCGATGGAATCCAGTGATGAAAAATAAAAAAATAAGATTTTTTTTTTTTAAATTAGAAAACCTATTAAAATACAAGAAACTAATAAAAGAAGATCATAAAACAACACTAAATCAATAAAATAATCATGTTAAATTGAAATATTAGTTATTTCAGAAGTGGAGATCAAATCTCAAAGCTGATAACTTCACACAAAATTAATTTTAGTCTCTTTTTCTTCACAGAATTCTTGATTTTTTTAAAAACTCTTTAATTTCACCAGACGGCCCTTACAATCAAATTCTTATTTACAGTGATGGCCTGGCAAGAACACCTGTAGATAAGAGGGAGACAAAGAAGGAAAACGAAAAAGCTAAAAAAAAAAAGTAGCAGATCAAAGTACAACAACAAAAATAAGATAAACAAGAGAGCAACACGTTAAAAAAATTAACATTAAATGAAAAATGTAAACACCTTTTGTTGAGAATATATAAAATAACAAACTTTGTTAATATGTATTGTGGTGCCCACATATGAGGACTGTAGGACCTCACAACAATTCAATTAAATCTTTTAAAGAAACAATTCAGCACATCATGTAATCTCAAAACGTTCACCATGATTTGATAATTCTGGTACAGTTCAGAAACATTTTCATAAATACAAAAAATACACAAATGTAAGCTGCACAGTAGTGGAAGGGAATGAACACAATACACCAAGCATTTTGAAAATAGAGACTTTTATTTTGACAAAAAATATTGCATACTTATTAAATTATTCTATTTAACTGTAATCGGTCCTAACATAACAAAGTCGATGTAGTTATATCACCTCCTCCAGGTCAAAGTGTCGTGATGCCTCAATGCATTTTACATCCCTGCTGGCCACTTTATTGGAAACCCCTTATAGCTTGGGCGCTGGGCCTCACTGAGCCTAGCATTCCACCCACTTTTCAAAATTTCTGCAAAATTAAATCATTGTGATGTAAACAGAGTCGTTCAGAGTGGTTTGGTGTGAAACGCTCTGCTCTAGAGAAACTCAGTCAGAACTGTTCACAGTGGTGGTGATAGGAACCAGACGTTCCCCCTCTAAAAGCTCCCTCACAGAAAGTTACTACATGAAATGGTTATGAATTCACTGCCTGATGACTGAAACACTATTTTATTAGTTTTTAGAAGGATTTTTTAAAATCCATTCATGGTGGACAGGTACAATGGTGGGCTGGAGGGGACAACATAGCACAGGTCATGTTGGATAGTAAATAAAATGGCTATATTTGTGTCGTAGTCATCAAGACCCCTGGTTCCTCTCACCACCAATAGAGGATTTCACATCAAACCGCTCTGAATGTTTTTGTTTACATCTCAACCACTGAAATGCAAAGAAATTTTGAAAGATTTGTGGAATTACCCTTTAGGTCATAGTTTTGAATTTGAATTTGAAATTGTGGTTTCTGGGTTTAGAATTTGAAGTCTAAGTGACATTTCTGCTCTGATCCTACAGACAAAACGACGCCCACAGGTCAGGACATCAGCGCCCTGAAGCAGAATATAAACCTGCCAGAGCCGAAGAGCAGAGAGGACTTCCTCAAGTGTAAGAAACTCAGTGACACTGAACATGTCTGTGCATGTGTGTGTTCTTCATGATGCCGTCCCTGTGAGTGTGTGTGGGAGAGGGTTCATTTGAATGGTAGGGACGGAGTCAAACAAGGAAAAAGAGGAAATTCAAATGAATGTCAGTCTTTAGCTCGACTGGCAGGTTTTCACACAGAGCGCACACACAGTACACAAACACACACACACACACACACACACACACACACACACACACACACAGTACACAAACACACACACACACACACACACACACACAGTACACAAACACACACACACACAAACTCTTCAAACTACGCCAAATCGATTTCACACATCGCTGCTTCACCTCAAGGTCTCCTTAGGCTGGCTTTACGTGGTGAAACCTTCATGCAACTTCAGTTGCTTGAAACCTACATGAAACTAAATTATACTTCAGTTGCATAATGTAAAGCAGGGTTTCTTAACCACTGGGCCGAGGACCACAGGTGGGCCGTGAAGCACCCCTTGGTGGTCCTTGGGCCCATACTGACGGGGGCAGTGGTCCGTAACAATAAACAAGGCTTAACAATAAAAAAGAAATATTTGAGTCATTCTATGGAAACGTCCATTTTTGTGTCCCTAGCGTTTACAGATATATTACACTTGAAAAACATGTTAGGGTTACAATTTATTTAGATTTTAAAATAAAGTAATAAGTTATTTTAACAATTATACCTTTCTTGAGCCTCAATTTCGCAATATTGGTTTTTAAATCAATCATTTCGAATTCGAATTCCAGGCACCACAGAAGAGCTCGTCCTCACAGTCATGTGTGAAGGCTGAGGCCATATTTTGCCATTTTTTTTACTGCTATTTTAACTGTAATAATCTATACATGACTATGGAATATATAAATTAAATGACATAAAAAAACAAATGTCAAATAAATATTATAAAATATAGAATGAAAGTTGTGGTCCCCAGGAGTCGTGTCACAAAATATGTTCTACTTAAATTTGTTTAACTGCATAAAAAATGTATTACATTTTGTGTTGCACTACTTTGATGTTTGTAATGATGTTTATAATCACCACAGAAATGCGAGAGCACATGAGTACAGCAGGACAAATTTAATATTTAAGTATTTGCTTGAAATATGTCCTTCATAGAACATAATAAAGCGCACTTCTTTAGTTTTGCTCTAAAGCTAAAAGGCTAATTTAGCTAAAAAGTGAAGGAAGCGTCTAACCCACGAGTTAGAATGGAACTGCATGGCTAAATCATCACCACTTTCAAAATGTCAAAATTTCTGCATAACTAAATTGATTGTAGAGACTCAGATGTCTTTACAGTGGTGGTGATAGGAACCAGGGGTCGCCATGACTACAACACAAATATAGACATTTTATTTACTATCCAAAACCACCAGTGAACCTACACGAGTCTTCTGAGTTTATATATGGAATGTTGATGATGGAAAATAGTGGAAAATCTGAAATAATATTTTTTTTTAGGACTGTTGTGCCTTACCACACCCTGCATGTATCCCTCCACCATAAAAGGGTTTTTAAAAATAAATTTTAGGCCAAAATCGTCTCAAAACTATCGTTAAATTATGTCTCAGACAACAGACAACCCATAACCATAATTTTCTGCGAAGGAGCTTTTAGAGCTGGACATTAAATGACTTTGTTTACATATTAACCATTTGATTGTGTCGAAATTTTGAAACGTCCTTGGAATTCCCCTTTGAGTAATCTCTACTAGGCTTGATTATGTGGTTTCTGACACTGTATGATTCATTGTGGTCTATAAACATGGACTAAAGTACAGACAAAATTCAGGCCTTAAGCTGCTGCAACTGTTTTCAACTATGCAACGTACATCTGTCCTTTTTCCAGCTATATTAGCCTTGTAGCTCTAACAAGTCTTGGCTGATCGATGACATTTGAGATGAGGTGAAATCTGTTTAAATCTTGCTTTAAGGTGAGTCCTAATATAAATTCCCTGTCTCCTCTCCAGATGCCGCCCCGCTGACTTTCGACTCCAGCACGGCGCATCAGTTCCTGCGTCTGACGGAGGACGGGAAGAAGGTGACCAACACCACACCGTGGCAGCATGGCTACCCGGAGTGCCCAGAGCGATTTCTGCACTGGAAGCAGGTGCTGGCCATGCAGAGCTTCTACCAGGGCCGGCATTACTTTGAGGTGGACATCAGCGGCGAAGGCGTTCATGTTGGAGTGACTAGCGAGAGCATTGTGCGTCAGAGTGCCAACAATGATGGCTGCCTGACGGGCCACGGCGCCTCCTGGTGTCTGCAGTGGAACGGCCGGGGGTTCTCCGCCTGGCACGAGGGACAGGAAACACCCATCAGCGCCCCAAAGTCCACCCGGCTGGGTGTCTATCTGGATTTTGCCCGGGAGTTCTCTGGCCTTCTATGCGGTGAACGGAGGAGTGACTCTGCTGCACCAGTACCAGGCCGAGCTGAAGGAGCCGCTGTACCCCGCCTGCTGGCTGCCCAAGAAGGAGAACGTGGTGCTGCTGGTGATGCCGGGACAAGAGATGCCGCTGAAAAGCCCCTCCCCACCCTGCTCTCCACCATAAAGAGCGCACCTTTATTGTTGTAGTAATATAGGGGTGGACAGTATGAAGATATGGCGTCATTATTATGATGAACTGCATCACAATATGCTTTTGTGAATGTATGATAGGTATGATCAATATTCATAGATCACGGATTGTGAAAAACAGCACGAACAGCATATTAACAAGTAGGGATGTTAGCACATTATGCTAATAATTATGCTAATTATCTTATTTTGTTAACTTATTTTACTGCCTTATTGTTGGAGATCACAAATTCCTTCCCTGGTGATGCCAAAGCCATCCGTAAGTGGGAGTACTGAGGTCCGTAGGAGGTCATTACTGTGTTCTCTCTCTCTCTCTGGGTGGGTAGGATGGTCCTTCCTGTTCCCCCAACACTCAGCATGATGCCAGCCAACTTGGCTAATAAAATTAGCAGTTAGCATTAGCAGCAGTTTGAAAGCACGTGCTAGCCTTCACCATCCCAGTTTGGTAGCAATGTGTGACTGAGGAAGACCTAGCTAATTGGCTAATGAGTGGAATTGGAAACGCTAAAATTTGGGAGAAAAAATTGGATAAAAAGCAAAACAAAACTCATTTCAATCATGTTTTTTCACAGTATTTTTTAAATATGCTACGCTATTTCGCTTGCGCATTTCTGTCCATTCCAACTTGTTTTATTCATGATACATTTACACCTTTAATGTAAATGAGAATCATCATAAAAAGGTTTTTGAATGCTGTGATTTTATATTTCACCATGCTGCCCACCCTTACGTTCCCTGGCCACTTTAGCAGAAACCCCTCTTTTGTAGTTCCACATTGCTGGTGTACAGTTAAAGACTGGGGATCATCTGTAGATCTACAGTTTATGTTGGTCATCTGTGATTTATACAAACACAGAGGTCTTCATTGAATTTTCCATATAGATTTATATGATCAGTATATTTAATACAGTACAGTGTATCATTTCATTTCCGTCAAAATATCCACCGACAAAAACACGCCTTGGCTTTGGAAGTGTAGTGTTAGAGCGCGTGACACAGTGTCTGAGTGCTCTCTGAGTGCTGTGTTAGCTTATGTCCTATGACTGAATGCTTTACCCTAATACAAATAGTGCATGTGTAATAAATGCTGTGCCTTGTTTCTTAAATAAACTCCTCCAGGTACAGTAAACTGTGTGTGAGTATGTGTTGACCAGACAGCCTGATGGCTTTCACTGGGAATGTGTACCATCTGTTTAAGCAAATATCAGATCTCTATTTTGTACAGTAATTTCGTGGCTGAAATAACTCGCCACACTTTTCTGTCCTAACAGAGTTTTATTTGTACCCTTAGGTCTCCTTATTACATTTGTGTGGTTGTCACATGTTTCTTCCTTTATATTGCAAAAACAGTCATAATTTATGTTTACGTGACTATTTTGACCCTCCCCTTAAGCTTATAATTAAACAGCCTGCCCCTTTAAGACTGATGTATGTAAATGACTCTGTTCTGATTGGCAGCCCTCATTCAAAAAGCAGGCTTAAACCCTCTTTATAGCTTTAGCATGAATGTATGGAGTGTATGGAATGTATGGACTGTATTGAGTGTATGGAATGTATGGACTGTATGGAGTGTATGGACTGTATGGACTGTATGGAATGTATGGACTGTATTGAGTGTATGGACTGTATTGAGTGTATGGAATGTATGGACTGTATGGAATGTATGGACTGTATTGAGTGTATGGACTGTATTGAGTGTATGGAATGTATGGACTGTATGGAGTGTATGGAATGTGTATGGACTGTATGGACTGTATGGAATGTATGGAGTGTATGGAATGTATGGACTGTATTGAGTGTATGGAATGTATGGACTGTATGGAGTGTATGGACTGTATGGAGTGTATGGAATGTATGGAATGTATGGACTGTATTGAGTGTATGGAATGTATGGACTGTATGGAGTGTATGGACTGTATGGAGTGTATGGAATGTATGGAATGTATGGACTGTATTGAGTGTATGGAATGTATGGACTGTATGGAGTGTATGGACTGTATGGAATGTATGGATTGTATTGAGCGTATGGAATGTATGGACTGTATGGAGTGTATGGAATGTATGGACTGTATTGAGTGTATGGAATGTATGGACTGTATGGAGTGTATGGAATGTATGGACTGTATGGAGCGTATGGAATGTATGGACTGTATTGAGTGTATGGATGTATGGAATGTATGGAGTGTATGGAATGTATGGACTGTATGGAGCGTATGGAATGTATGGACTGTATTGAGTGTATGGAATGTATGGAGTGTATGGAATGTATGGACTGTATTGAGTGTATGGAATGTATGGACTGTATTGAGTGGGGAGTGAATGGAAGGTTTTTGCAACTTTAACAGTGTCTACATCAAACTCTTTTATAAAAGTGATCAAACTGAAAGGTTTTCCATGAGTTGAGCCTTTAAAATGTGGCTTTATTCATTCAGTAGACAAGCCAATAGTACAATACTGTGCCCGAGTGAATCTGCGGTCAGGGCTGGGCGTTTAATCGAATTTTATTTTCAGATACAATTTTGGCTTCCAACGATTATGAAAACAAGATTACCGAGATAAAACGATTATTGCACCATATTCCACGTCACAATGATAGTCTGGATTTGTCCTGTTTTAAATCCAGCGAATTCCTTTCCTTTATATTTTCATTTGTTGAAGAAAATCTACTGTTAGAAAGACACGTTTTCTTAAACGTTCAATAAATGCGTAATGTTTCCAAAGTCAATGAGTGATCTTGTTAAATAATCGTGATGTAAATACTGACCAAAATAATCATGATTATGATTTTTGCAATAATCGAGCAGCCCTGTCTACAGTACAAAGTCTCTTATAGTCCATGTGGTAAATAAAGTGAATGAATGAACAGATAAAGCAGACCGATTTGTGTGAACATGTCCACGCTGTGCTCATCCTGCGCTACTGAAACAGATGATTCAGACTCACATTATCTCAGGAACAGATTATCAGTGTGGTTCCCTTTTTCACAGCAAAACTTCCTCTTCTGTGACACGTTATTGTTTACACTGATACTCTTACTGTTAGTTAGTTAGTTTGTGTTTTTGGTAAGTGGCTTAACAATGCAAATATCTAGCATAATAGTCAGCATTGTTTAGTGAAAACCTATGAAAGACATGAATTAATAATATCAGAAGAAGCAAAGGAGGGGCGAAAGAAAGAAACATAACAATAATAATAATAATAATAATAATAATAATAATAATTTATTGTAGGTTATGTTCTGCAAGTAGGTATTTAAGTCAGTCTTTCTCAGTGCCGTTCTCATTAAACTGTAGCAAGCAGCCACTTAAATTTGTGTCCCCTGCCACAGAGACGACTGTCCCCAGATGAGATTTTGAGTGCTGTGTCAAAATCTTACTCGGTTAAAAGTGAAAATCAAGAAGTTTTGATAAGTAAGTAAATAATTAAAAACATAAATTTGAATAGTTGTGTGCAGTTTCATTTTACAGCAATGTAAATGTGAAAAAATTAAGTGTATATAAAATCAACTGGAAAAGGAGAAAGCTGGAGACAGATAGAGAGAGAGAGAGAGAGAGAGATTAGACCTTTGAAGGTCTAATTGAAAATGTGAGGAATATAAACTATGTTTAAATATGTTAAAATATGTTTTGTAATTAGTGAGTAAAAGTACAAGAATTCAGTTTCAACAATACCATCATATCCAATTTTAATAATTTTGGATTTCAAAAGACAACTTCATCAAGTTGTTATTTCTTTAAAAAGTTGTTATTTCTTTAAAAAAAGGTGCAATTGTGAGAGGTTCACTGCCGATAACATATAAAATAAATAATAAAAAAAAAGATTATTCAAGAAAATGTTTTGAATTTCATCAAATATTCCAAAACAGTACTAAAGTATAGTAGTAACTAGGGGTGGGCAATATGATGATACTTTATCATTATCGTGAAAGTGTGCTACATCACAATACTCTTTTCTGCGCGTATTGTGGACATCATTACTTAAAGAAACTGACCAACATCATCTTTCATTACATACATACATACATCATCTAAACCGCTTATCCTTCTGGGTCACGGTGGGGTGCTGGAGCCTATCCCAGCTGTCATGGGGTTTTCATTACAAAGAGAAAATAATTAGGCCTGTTTAAGTGAATTCAGTGCAGTTTGTAAAATACGAAATAAAAATCATTATAGTAAGTTAATAATAATAATAATAATAATAATAATAATAATAATAATGATAATAATAATAATAATAATAATAATAATAATAATAATAATAATAGCATGTGGCTCTGTAGGTTCTATTTTGTATGTTCCAACTTCCAACAAGATGAAATCTAAGAAAAACAAAATATATTAATGAATCTCATGTATCGTAAAAATGTCTTTAATCTTTTCAACTCCTTGAGACCACCGGTGGTTCCAAAACGCACTTTGTCATGTTCTTCATAACGTTCATATTTCATAAGCTACATTCTAAAGGTGGGGGTCGTATGAGAGCTGTAACTGTCTTCTTTCCAGTCAAATAGATGGGTGATGTAATTTTAAACCCTTATAATAAAAGAAGCTGAACTCAGTTGTGTTTTTCTACTGAAAGTCGACCCATTTTTCACAAATCTGGGCTATAAATTATAAACAGATGGCGTCTCTTCAGTGATCTGCTCTGTAAAAATTATTTTATAAAATAATACAATTTCTCAGATTTTTGGCTTTCAGCAGTAAATTGTAAGCATATAGCAATATGTGTGATCATAAAACACATGTTCTGTTAATTTGAGGGGAACTTTTACAAAAAAATAAATAAATAAAATAAAAATTTACATTTATTTCATGCAGTTACTGAATAATTTGCCTTACGATTTGGTCAGTTAAATTCAGATGGACAAACCAAAATATACCCTGGAGAATAAGAGGTTAAGTATTGAAATATATTAAAATATAATATTATTAATATTATTATAATATATTTTCCATATTACGTAAAAATACTGTACACCCCTACTGTACTGGCTTTTATTGTGACACGCCAAGGCCGGATGTGATGTCGGCAGGCGGTGTGTGTAGCTGTGTGTGTCCGCCATGCTGAGGCTGGTGAGTTTGGCTCTGTCTCTGTTTTTCGTCTTTTTTCGGCTCTAAATTCATCACAGACATATCGATAATCGATTACAGTAGAGAAACTGATTAATGAACTGATATTCTGTGGCACTTCGAGGACCGTAAACGGCTTTATTAACTCTGTTAACTGGACATCATCCCGAGTTAGCCGCTGTTTCTGTTGATCTCCAGATTCTTTAGTTTTAGATTCAGATCGAGGGTCAGATCGAGGGTCAGATCGAGGGTCAGATTGAGGGTCAGATGGAGGGTCGGATCGAGGGTCAGATTGAGGGTCAGCAGAGCTGAGAATGAAGAGTTTGGAGATGAAATAAATAATAAGTGAACTGATAAATTACTCACTCATCACTAATTTACTGTTCTGCTCTGTGACGTGTCTAATTTCAGTGCTCTAAGGTCTGATTAGTGACAGTGAGAGATTTGTTTACAGTGAAGTCGTAGATCATTAAAAGTCGGATATTTAATGGAAAGAATATGAGAATGTTATAAAACAGATTTCACCAAAATTACTTTACATTATAACAGCTTTCTGCAGCTACTAATAGAGAAATTCTGAAGCTCACTGTAGGAAATATATATGTATATGTGTGTGTGTGTATATATATATATATATATATATATATATATATATATATATATATATATGTATATATATGTATATGTATATATATGTATATATATGTATATGTATATGTATATATATGTATATATATGTATATATATATGTATATATATGTATATATATATGTATATATATGTATATATATATGTATATATATATATATGTATATATATATATGTATATGTGTATATATATATATATATATATATATATATATATATATGTATATGTAATATAGAGCTGTAACTGTCACCATGTCAGGAAATGTATAATAAAACACTAAAGCTGCAGTTGTGGCAGTTTTTTAGTACATTACAAGGTAAAAGTTCGTTTTAAAATACTCCACCATTTTTATCCTTTTATTGTCTTGCCTAATAACTTTAAAATTGAGTTTCATCACAGTATTCTTTCTTTTGGCCGTTTGGCTTTGGAGATGATCACTCTGTTATTTTTTTTTGTACCTGCATTTTCTCGAAGGAATTTTGGGAGGGGATTTTGATTAATGCTGTTCGTGTCTGTGCACAAATGAATTTCTATAAGTGAGACGATGGTCTTGTTCCTGAACTATCAGACTAATTCAAGTAGAATACATGAGATTATGAAACTTTTAACCTTATTGAGTCACGGCATCGGGTCCTAACTTTAGGCTATTCTGACCTGAATTTTTTGTGATTCCTTAACTTCTGTTAAATGAAGTTATTAAAGTACTTCATTGAGTAACAGATCAATGTATGACTTTATATACCAGTAAAATGTATTATTATTATTATTATTATTACTATTATTATGTTTGGTTGGTCCAGCAGTGACACTGAGGTGTTTAAAAACTCCAGCAGCACTGCTGTGTCTGATCCACTCAGACCAGCACAACACACACTAACACACCACCACCACGTCAGTGTTACTGCAGTGCTGAGAATGATCCACCACCCAAATAGTACCTGCTCTGTGAGGGTCCATGGGGGCCTTGCCCACTGAAGAACAGGGTAAAAGGGGGCTAACAAAGTATCAGAGAAACAGATGGACTACAGTCTGTAACTGTAGAACTACAAAGTGCACCTATATAGTAAGTGGAGCTGATAAAATGGACAATGAGCGTAGAAACAAGGAGGTGGTCATATTACATAGGTTTTACATAGAACCTTTTTGAAAAGGGTTCTCCCGTTCTCCTATTAGTTGAGTTAGTAGAACTCTGTCGTGACCCCCAGCATGAACATCTGCTAACCTTTCTCTCCTTTTTCTGCAGGATTCAAACGATGATGACGTGTCATTATTTGATGCGGAAGAAGATTCAGCCAGAAATTCTCGAAAATCAAAAATCAAGTAAGTGTGTTTGTGTTTATGCAGCCGTCTGCAAACGTTTGGGCCAAATTTCATGTTGATGTTGATTTTCTAAGTGAAAATAAGTAACGCATCCTCTACAGAGACACACTACCGCACATTTTATTGATTTAATTACTGTTTATTTGCTGCATTTTTTTTTTTACATTTTGGGAAAAAAAATATATATTTAATTATTTAGTTATTTTTGGCAAGACCTTTTAGTCATTTTATGTTTGTGCAATGAGGCTTGTAATGAGAACGTAGCCTTTATGCCACTGCAGACAGGCCAGAATCTAAAGTTACCTTCAAGCTTACCATCAAGAATGAAGAAGAGTCAGTCGTACTGAATACAAATATAAAATATACAAAAAATATTTATTTATTTAGTTATTTTTTTTCAAAGTCTTTTTGTCATCTTACGTTTGTGCTGGTAGCCTTGAGACATTTGTTGTAAGTTTTTCTAAGTTGATTGCCTGTGACCATCGTTGTCGAGGGTGGGGCTGAAAGATTAATCGTTTTTATATCAAAATCACAATTTCAGACAGTGCAAGTTTCAAATCGCAAGAGCTGAAAATTTTTTTAAATTATAGCCTACATTCTCAAAAATATCCTAAGTTTGAAGTGACAATAATAACAGAGATTTGTAAACTGCATGTAGAGTTAGACCAATCAGAGGCAGCCAAACCTCCATGTGTTGTGACATCAAACCACAACTTACTGATGGTCTGGCGCGCCACATTAAAGGGTCGAGTATAGAGCTGAACGATTTTGGCAAAATATCTAATTGCGATTTTTCTGACCAACACTGCGATTACGATTTAAACTGCAGTTGATTATAATTGAGACGGGGCATTTTTTGACTAAGAAGATCTGCATATATTTTTTCTGGCTTGAGACTTGAACTGTTAGCACAGTTAACCAGCCTGCCAGGTATTTATGGTTGTGATGTCACAGCAGTTCACAAGCTCCATGTTATTAGGTCAGATTTCCCTATTTAAAACTAATGTCGTATAAACACTGTTGATAATAGTCTCACAGTCTATAATAAAAAAAGGTTTGCAGCTCTTGTGACTTTAAAATTGCGCTCTTTTAACTCTTATTCTCCAGGGTATATTTTGGTTTGTGGAATCTGAATTTACATGACCAAATCATAAGGCAAATTATTCAGTAACTGCATGAAATAAATGTACATTTTATTTTATTTATTTATTTTTTTGTAAAATCTCCCCTCAAATTAACAGAACATGTGTTTTATGATCACACATATTGCTATATGCTTACAATTTACTGCTGAAAGCCAAAAATCTTAGACGCTCTCTGTATTATTTTATAAAAATAATTTTTACAGAGCAGATCACTGAAGAGACGCCATCTGTTTATAGTTTATAGCCCAGATTTGTGGAAAAATGGGTCGACTTTCAGTAGAAAAAAACAACTGAGTTCAGCTTCTTTTATTATAAGGGTTTAAAATTACATCACCCATCTATTTGACTGGAAAGAAGACAGTTACAGCTCTCATACGACCCCCACCTTTAGAATGTAGCTTATGAAATATGAAAGTTATGAAGAATATGACGAAGTGCGTTTTGGAACCACCGGTGGTCTCAAGGAGTTGAAGAGGTTAAGATTTCAATATAAAAACGATTAATCTTTCAGCCGTAGTCGAGCATCAAGCCAAAAAAGGGTTGATATTCTGGCTTTCATGGCTGAAAAATGGGCCTGAACCTTAATTTATAGAATATATTCGCGATTTAAACCACAGCCGCTATTTTAGTCTGAAAAATCACGATTAAATATCCCCGAATGGTTCAGCCCTAATAGAGGGTCTGTATGAGCTTGTGTGTTGTGTAGCTGTAGTTTGTGTGTGTTGTGTAGCTGTACTGTGTGTGTGTGTGTGTGTGTGTGTGTTGTGTATCCACGGTGTGTTTGTGTCTCTGCAGGCACCCCGTGGCCTCGTTCTTCCACCTGTTTTTCCGGGTGAGTGCGATCCTGGTCTATCTGCTGTGTGAGCTGCTCAGCAGCAGCTTCATCGCCTGCATGGTCACCATCATCCTCCTCCTGTCCTGTGACTTCTGGACGGTGAAGGTTAGTGGTGGTGCTTGCAACCAGGCCAAACCATCAAGCTCATCATCAAGAATGAGGTCATCAGTCATACCTAAAACAATGATGCACGATAATCCAGAGATTAGAAGATTTTGATTATTTATTTATTATTTTTTATGCGTTTTCCTTTTTTACAATACATTTTAATTAATGTTATCTGGTTTGAACACACTTAAAAAAGATGGTTCGTCAAGGGTTCTTCAAGAACCCTTTTTGATGCTAAACACAAGTCTCTTCAGAAAAGTTCTATATAGAACCATATACAGCATAATCTCTGTCAGTCTGAAGAACCTTTCATGGTGCAAAGAACCCTTTAATCATGCAAAGGGCTCTTTGAGTTCATGGTTCTATATAGAACCATTTTCTTCATTCAAGAACCATCTTTTTTAAGTATAACAATGGAAGAACCCTTTTAGGTGCCACATAGAACTCTTTTTCAAAAAGGTTCTATATATAACCATCTACAGCACATTCTCCATCAATCTGAAGAACCCTTTCTGAATGCAAAGAATCCTTTTTGGAAAGGTTCTTCAGTAAATAAAATGGTTCTTTAAAGAACTTTGAATACTCAAAGAACCCTTTGTGTGATTGAAGGGTTCCTTGCATCATGAAAGGGTTCTTCAGATTGATGGAGAATGTGCTATAATATATATATTCTATATAGAACCTGTTTGAAAAGGGTTCTATATAGCACCCAAAAGGGCTTTCCTGTTGTTACAAGATTGACGTCATCACAATAGAAGAACCCTTTTGGGTGCTATATAGAACGCTTTTCAAAAAGGTTCTGTATAGAACTATGTACAGCACATTCGTATGAACCCTTTCATGACGCAAAGTATCCTTTAATCTTGCCAAGGGTTCTTTGAGTGTTCATGGTTCTTTATAGAACCATTTTCTTTACAGCATTATGTATCAGATACAGTAAATTGAGCTGTCTATAGTGTCTTGGTTCCTGTATGTAATAATAAAAGCAAGCTTTAGTCGTTTGTGAGCCACACTAATTGTTCTAATTTGTTTTAGAACATCACAGGCCGTCTGCTGGTGGGTCTGCGCTGGTGGAACCAGGTGGATGAGGATGGGAACAGCCGCTGGGTGTTTGAGTCCAGAAAGGTGGGTCTGTGTGTTTGTATATGAGAGAGCGAGAGAGAGCGAGAGACATACACAGAGACATACAAGCCACAGTGCGCTGCTTTATATTTGCATCGATATTTGCTTTGTATTTGCACAGGAATACCTCCTTCCTGACTCTGCAGCCATGAACTAGCGAGGGCGGGGCTTATGCTGTTGACACACCCAAGCTCAATGACAGTGACTGGGCTTGAACAGACAAAATGCAATCAGAACTTCACCTTGTAATCAAAAAATGCGTCAAACCTAAGAAAAATTGTATCACTACACTGTTAAAATCAACTGCAGCCTGTAGTTAAACTCCTTGGAATAAATGGTTCTCTTAAGCCCCATTCAGAGCGGATTAGTTCATCTGTAATAAAGCATCTGTAATAAAGTCTTTACACTTCTTCTCAGTGATAAAACTGTCACACCTGGACGGCAATAAAAATATTCACTGTCCAAAGAAAAACTAGTATCTCCGAAATAGTAACTTGATTAGTTATAGAGGTTAAAACGTTCTTTGCTTTTAATGTTAATGAAAAGAGGTTTTATTGAAGGTGATTTTGGAGCGTTTCTATTGGTCCGTTCATCGTTAATTTTCACAGTGTAAAGTACTGCTGAGCTCAAATGATGTAGAAAAATAACAACTGACAAAATGGAGATACATGTTTTTCTCTGGGCACTGAATGTGTTTACGTGCATTTAATAATCCGATAACTGCAGATTTTGTCAGTGATCTGATCAACGCGTTTACATGCACTCGTAATCAGATAATGGAGAAACTCCAGATCTACATGAATCAGACAGTAATCAGATTTCTGCTTAACAACCAGCCAATAAACTCACAGAAGAAGACGTGACCTAAACGCAACGTAAAACTCAAACTTTTTTCAAAACATTGCGAACAATATTTAAATAAAGAATATTTAAATCCTTCATTTCATCAAGCATGTATTTGGTTTCAGTGTCGCTCCAAAAGTGTTTTGCTGCGTCTCGCAGCGATGCTGCTCGCTCATTTCCGGTACCGCCGTCTGTTTTCGCACATGCTCAGACTGAGAAATCCGAAAGAAATCAGAGTAAGAGTTTACAGCACTGAGAAATCTGATTACTGAGCTAAAATCCAGCCTCTTTATCAGATTTCTTAATCAGATTTCTAGACCTTACTCCGATCTAAGAAATCAGAGTGTGCTGTTTACATGACCATTTGAGTAATCAGATAACTGCAGAAATCCGATTATGATCGGATTGTTGAGTGCATGTAAACACACTCAGTGATGCGCTGTTTTAACAAGATGTTAGTGTCTAATGAGCAGCATTATTGCTCCATTTTGCCTGCTGTATTTGATATTATAATTCTGGAGCTTCATCTTAAAAATAACAACATTTAATCACACAGAAGTGAAATGTTTTGGTAGTTTTTTATTTGTTGTTTGGTCGAAACTTTTCTTCAACCTCTGCTAGTCTTATTTCTGTCTTACAGTCATGGAATGTAAACGGGGTGCGCAAACGTCATCAAGCCGACTGATCAATAACATGATTCATTGCAGACAGTTTTTCATTATCAGCATTATTGATCATGTTGATTAGTTGTTCCAGCCCTAGAGTCTTTCTTTCTCTTCCTGCTCTTCTTCTCCCAGTGTGGAGAGGATGCTGGTTCTACCAACAAAACCAGTTAAATATCTGAGAGACTCTGCCAAAACGTTTAATGTTGATAGATGTGCTAGAAGACTAAATACGCTGAGTAGCTGGATGTGTTTTCAGATTAAACTAAAATGATGTGAAGTTTCCCAGAAGCATCTTGGTGTTAAGGTCATCTTAACTGGTAGAGAGAGTGTTCAGGGTGATGCTCGCTCTACCATTTGGGAGTTATCTTTGTGCTAAGGTACTTTTGGGGAAATCCCGCCAGAGCAGCAGGTAATTATCTCAGGGGAGGAAAGAACCCAGCACTGGTTATGAATGTAATCCTGTCTGAATGGGGTTGTATTGATACTCTTCACAGTGCAGCCAGAGTTTAGTGTCAGTCCTTTGAGAGTAACTGTGCTGTGTGTGGTGTTTTTAGGGCCACGCCCAGCAGCTCCCAGCGTCTCTCCCGTCTGATTCTGAGGCTCGGATCTTCTGGCTGGGGCTGATCATCTGCCCTGTGCTGTGGGTCATCTTCACCTTCACCGCCCTCTTCTCCTTCAAGATCAAATGGCTGGTGAGCTCTCAGAGAATCCTGAATAATAATAATAATAATAATCATAATAATAATCTTTATTTATCTTTTTTTATGTAGCACCTTTCATGCAATAAAAATGCATCTCAACATGCTTCACAATACAAAGTGAAAACAACAGAGGAAGAAGAGAAAAAAGATAAAAATAAAATAAACAATAAAAATGCAACACAAAGCTAATAGCAGAAAAGGGGATATATTAATAATAATTAAAATTAAAATGCACAAGATAATAGTATAGTACAAATATAAGTATGTGTATATAATAAAAATATAACTAACAAGAAAGCAAAAGTAACGTTCCAGTAAAAACAAGGGAAACAATAAAAAACTAGTTAAATGCTAAAGTAAAGAAACATGTTTTTAACTGTTTTTTAAAAAAACATTGACCGAAGGAGCCCAACGAATGTTTATAGGTCACGTGTTATAGATTTATGGTGCGTAAAAACAAAACACTTTATTTATGCAGCACTTTTCATACGTTAAAAATGCAGCTGAAAGTGCTTCACAATACAATGTAAAAACAGCTGAGGAAGAGTAAAAAGATAATCAAAAATAAAATAAATAATAAAAATGCAACAAATGAAAGTAACAAAAGGGGGATATATTAATTATTTAAAATTAAAATGCACAAGATAAAAGTATAATATAAATGTGTGTATTTATTTTATATATATATATATAATAAAAAATACAAATAAAAATATAACTAACAAGAAAGCAGAAGTAGCATTCCAGTAAAAACAAGGAAACAATAAAAACGAGTTAAACGCTAAAGTAAAAACGTGTTTTTAGCTGTTTTTTTAAAACATTGACCGAAGGAGCCTGACGGATGTTTATAGGTCACGTGTTCCACATCTTTGGTGTGTGAAAACAAAACACTGCCTGTCTGCTCTCTGTAAGTTTCTTACATGGATATGGAGAAGCAGCACTGGATGATATTTGGAACATGATCTGTGTCAGCTGTGATTGTTGTTGAGATTGTGATGTTTTAGAGTCGGAGCAAAACTCATTACATCATCTGATTTTTGAAAACATCACTGTGCACCAGTGGACACCGCAAGTAGTCAATTTTTTGTTTTTGGTCACCTAATGTTGAACATATTACAGCTGTCAGCCCTTTGGCTTAAACAAAACCAGGCTTAATACAGAGTTCAGTTGATGTGCGCACTCATAAGGGTGTGTATATCAAGTACAGGGTGAAGATTAATCCGATTTCAAAGCGCCATATTTTTACAACCGTGAGGCGCCGAGGAACCAATCACAATCCAACTGAAAGAGGGGGTCATAGAGTTTCTGACTGTCAGTGGAAGATGGCTCCTTCAGTCTGAGAGGAGATGAGACCCCTGAGCAGAAAGCGTTCTGCGTTCTCCACTTCAATAAGAGTGAATCTGTCATAACTGTGCAGTGTGATTTTCGTGAGCAGTGAAGCTCCAACAGCTCAGAGCGTTCGTCGTTGGTTCCACAACACTGGATGATCTCCGAAATCGCACTGAAAGAGCCGTGAGTGCAGCAACACCCGACACGCTCAATCCAGTATGGGATGAATCTGACTATGGTGTTGATGTTGTCTGTACAGCTGGAGGAGGTTCAGACTGAGACCTTGAACAATTACATAATAAACTTTATGCTCATTAAACCATTTACAGTTTACTGCACTGATCTGTAACGATTTACAAGAGAAATAAATCATTTTGAAATCAGATGAATCTTTTTGAACCACCCTGTATTTTACAGCGGCTCTGAACATGGCTCAGCCAATCAGAGTTCAGAATCGAAACTGTCTGTTTAACAATAGATAATTTGACGGGTCGCATCCATGGCTTTAGGCTCGCTGGTAGAGCTGAATGTTTTGGGAAAAATATCTCATTGGGATTTTTTGGACTAATTTTGCAGTTTCAGTTGCTTGTTTTCTATAAATTAAAGTTCAGACCTGTTTTTTGGCCAATAAAAATATATCCACTTTTTCTGGCTTGAGGCTTGAATGCAGTGTGTCAGGCTGCCAGTAAGCTGTGGTTGTGATGTCACAACACATGGAGGTGTGGTTGCCTCTGATTGGTCTAACTCATCAACAGGCAGTTCACAAGCTCTGTGTTATTAGGTTACGTTTCCCCACTTAAAACTTAAGACAATGTTGACAACGTTGTTGATAATGTAAATTATGATATATAAAAAATTGCTGCTCTTGTGATTTAAAAATTGCACTCTCAAAATTGTGATTTTGATATAGAAATGATTAATTGTTCAGCCCTACTTGCTGGTTAATGACTTTAATCTCTGACTAATGATGATTGATTATCAGTCAAAATAAAATAGGCATCCCGTTGTTTACGTATCTTCAGTATAATAATCACTGATTGCATTGATAATAGTGAAAGCTGATGGACTGGATTTCTAGAGTTTTGAGGTTGTTGAGGTTGAGTTGATGGATTAATTATGCACTTCTGTGTCTGTTTGCTGTGTGCAGGCGGTGGTGATTATGGGCGTGGTCCTACAGGGAGCTAACCTCTATGGGTACGTTCGCTGTAAAGTGGGCACCAGGACTAATCTGAAGAACATGGCCACCAGCTACTTCGGAAAGCAGTTTCTCAAACAGGTGCGTTTCTGATGTTTGTGTATGTAGTTAGTTCATGAAGTCTAAGAAACAGATTTCTTTCTTTTTCTTTAGGCACTGTTTTTCCTCTCCACCTTCAGAATGTTTAAAAAATATATATTTTTAGGACAAAATCTTCCTAAAACAGTGTCTCAGTCATCAGGCAGTGAATTCATAACCATTTACTGTAGTAACTTTCTGTGAGGAGCTTTTAGAGGTGGACGTCTGGTTCCTATCACCACCACTGTGAACAGTTCTGACTCTGTAAGTTTCTCTAGAACAGAGCGTTTCACACCAAACCACTCTGAATGACTTTGTTTTAGAGCTGGGCAATATGGCCAAAAATGTTATCACAATAAAAAATTTCATATCGTTCGATATGGAAACATATCACGATAAATGTAAAATCATTATTTCTTTCAAGTTTGAAAGCTGATTTCCGCTCATGAGTGGTCAGTCACTGTTTTAAACTTCCTTTATGGTCGGAAAATGACAAACACTCACCAACCAGTGGAACAATTCACCAGTCTGTCATGGGAGAGTGGGAGAAAGTTTCTGGTCAGCTGTTTTGACCAGCTGGAAAAGCACGGCATTATGTAATAGTCAGAATTTAATAAAGAAAACAGATAGAATAGAATTCAGAACCATTGGCCAACTGCGTTTGCACACAGAGGAATTAGACCTCCGCATTTAACCCATCCGTGCAGTCAAACACCCACATACATACACACTAGTGAACACACACAGTAGGGGCCAGTGAGCACACTTGCCCGGAGCGGTGGGCAGCCCTATCCATGGCTCATGGGGAGCAGTTGGGGGTTGGGTGTCTTGCTCAAAGACATTTTAATCACATACTTTCGGCTCAGGGGATCAAACAGACGACCTTCCGGTCACAAGGCTGGTTCCCTGACCTCCAGCCCACAGTGTAGCTCGCATGAACCCACTTCTTTCTTTCACTTTCGTTGTTTGTGAATGCACTAATACTAAAATCTGCCTGAGCGCTGTAACAGTGCTGTAGTTGTGAGGAGCAGACGTGATTTAACGCTGCTAAAGCTGTTAGGATGTTAGGAAAGAGGAGAGTTCACTGTAGGACAGTTACAGCACTGACCTCATCACTCAGGAGAGCAGATCGCCGGTCGCTCCACTCAAACAGGGAACATATAACTCCACGTTTCAGACGTTGCCAAAGTATATTTGGCGACTCATTTTACTCCTTGCCCCCCCCAGTATCATGTCGTAAAACTCAGAAGTGCGCCCTCTCGTGGTGACAACAGAGTAGTATCGCTTTCCTTGCAATAGAAAACGCCACCAGGGCTTTCACTAGAACGTGGAAGTGTGAGAATGGTGTATTATATGGAACATTTATAGAACATTTCTTATATTTCTATCAGAAAAGTTATATTGTGATAATTATCGTTATCGTTTTACCGCCCAGCCCTACTTTGTTTACATCTTAATTAATTAATTATGCAGAAATTCTGAATCTTTTTAACCCCAAAGGTAGATTATGAAGTTGTCATTACCATTTCTCCTGTTGGACTGACTTTGGTTTGGGCTTAAGTGAGAAACCCTGTGAAAAGTAAAAAAAAAGGTAAAAGAAGAAGAAATTACTCTTCAGATGTTAAAAACACGCTCAAATTTCATCATATATTCTCTCAGCACCACACTGATCTTACATTACACTACACTCTGTACAAAAAGCATCTGCAGCCTCATTTAATAGGTGTATTGGTGCCATGGAGTTCAGCTGGCAGGCCTTTAAATCAAATCAAAACATGTTTATTGTCACGTCACATTTACACAGGTGTGAAGGTGAGTGAAAATCTTTGGTGTGTAGCCCCCTTGTAGTACTTAAATATATATATATATATATATATATATATATATTGTGTGTATAGTGTGTGTGTGTGTGTGTATATGTGTGTGTGTGTGTATATATATATATATATATATATATATATATATACACATTAGTATACACCAGTGCTGCACCATTCCCAATGCACAGTTTTGTACATTAACATAAGTTATGAAATAAAAGCTATAATATGTACATTTGTACACTTGTACATATATGCAATATGTGAGTCTGAGGTGTGTGTGTGTGTATATATATATATATATATATATATATATATATATATATATATATTCTAGGTTATACAAGATATGGTAGAATATGTATAAGATGTCATTCTATATGTGCAGGTATATATTTGCTAGATTAAAGTTACGTTAGCTGAAAAGTGTGGGGGGCTCTGAGGTTTAATTGTCTTGTGTGCACTAATGTTTCCTCTCCTGTTTGTTTCTGAATGCAGGCTCTGAGCAAACAGGAGGAGTCCTGAAGAGGAGCTGCTGAAAGTATTCCAGCATTTTTGTAATATTCCTCTAATTTTATAAACAGTGTTTTGAGTTATTGGACATTTCTGAAGCTAACAGAAGCACGTCACCGTCTCTGCTCCACAAGGCAGATGCTGAGCTACAGTATTTCAAACAGACACTTTACGCTTATTACGTTATGTATTTTTTACGAAATATTTGTGAGTTGAATTTTCTCTAATTTATTTACTATGAATTCATGCTCTCAGACTGTGTGAAGATTTTGGACTTTTATGTTCATCTTGCTCTTGTAAACTATGAGGGATTGTAGAATGAAGTCTCTGTGAAAACCCCAAACGCTGATCAGGGAATACAGGACGTAGGGCAGAGCGCGGCCCAAGGTAACGCTGTAAAATGCAGCACGTGTATCTCATGTAGTTAAACAGGTTCTAGTAGAACAAGATTTTGGTCATCCTGTCGTGTTCCCATAGCAACATCATCTGGGAATTTTGACAGTGGTCAGACAGATGTTTCTCCAGATTCACCCTGAAGTTTTTGTACCATAAAAGTAAAATTTTCATTGTAAGTGTTTTCATTACTGTGTCCTCCCAGAATCACAGAATTCGCTTCAATGTTACTCTCATCTCCCCCTGGTGGCTGTAATAGGTCACTGCAGATAAAGAGCTCACAGTGAGATCCAGCCAGGCTAAAGTGAAGCCTCCACCCGGCAGGGTTAGTTTAACACACTGATCCAGCTAAGACCCCCAGAGTAAACAATCAGAGAACTTCATATCCCCCCACATACATTCAAAACATTTTTTGAACATGTTATGCACAGATAAATCAGAAACATACTAAAGATTAATATAGTTTTAAATATTTTAGTTTGGAAAGCTTGTATGGTTTAAACAACACAGAGTTGTATTCAGTTAATTGTACGACGATGTTTTAGGGCCACTGTTAAAATGATAGACTTTGAGAACAAAGTCATAAAGTTACAAAAATAAACACACAATATTTGGAGGAGAAAGTGGGCTAACTGTAGGGGGCTAACTGTAGGGGGGCTGCCATAACGCGTTGGGGTCTCGGTTGCTGTACTGGCGCCGGAGCTCCACTCACTCCTGTCTCTCTGCGGATCATTTTGATCATCGTTCTCACTGTCTGTGAAACTTCATGCCCTCTTTGAATGGGGGGAGATGTAGCCCCCGATAGCCGTGTAGACGACCCTGCCTGAGGTTCTCCTTCAACAACAGACAGACAGTTTCCTCTGAGTCCGTCTGGCTCTTTATTCTAGATAAACACAGTTTCCTGCTCAGCCGTTTCAGCCGGTTCTTATCCTAATAACAGGCTGGTGCTGATGTGCAGGAGAGACAGGGAGACTGAGTGTTTCTTTATGGGTGAATCGATATGAAAGAAACTCCACCGACTCACTGCCCCTCATTTATCACGAGGAGGTGCTGCTTCCCTTCGCAAAGCCTTTGGACACAATATTGTGACCTTTCCCGGTATTAATGCCACTTTATTCTCGCGATTCTACAAACTTTATTCTCGAAATATTATTAATTTCAAAATATTATGATTTTATTCTCAAAATGTTGCGACTTTTTTCTTGAAATATTACAACTTTTTTTATATTATGATCTTATTCTAGAAATATTGCAACTTTTCGAAATATGACTTCTTTTTCCAAAATATGATTTTTTTTTAGAAATATTACAATTGTATTCTTGAAATACGACTTTATTCTCAAAGTACATTATTATTTTAATTTTTTTTAAAGTGGCCCTAAAACGCCATTGTATAATTGTGTTTTGTGTTCATCAGACTTTAGGAAGGTTTTACCATCTGCAGTCAGTCTGCTTTTGGCGTAATTGTTCGTATTTATTCATAGGTCATTTTCTGGAATTAGGCACAGATTAATCAGAGACGTGCTGAAGATATTGTGTAAAAAAAATATACACTCTTAAAAAGATGGTTCTTTAAGGGTTCTTTAGTAAAGACAACGGGCCTCATTCACAAACTGTTCTTAAGAAGAAGTTTCTTCTTGAAACCCACTTTACGCAGTTTCCATGAAGATTCTGACTCACCGATGTTCTCTTATGTGGGATTTGTTTCTTAAATAAGAACAGAATCTACTCACACTCAAGAGCACAAAGCTGAGAACAGTTCTGCGTTTTAGGAACACGTCATGAATCTGACGTTGACTTTTTCCTAGGATCTTTCTCAAGAACACACTTAAGAACAAACTTAGAAAGATACTGGAGAATGAGGCCCAATGGTTCTATATAGAACCAAAAACACTCAGAGAGCTGTTTGCATGATTAAATGGTTCTGTGTTTGGTGAAATGGTTCTTCAGACTGATGGAGAATGTGTTGTATATAAATATATAGTTCTATATGTTTTGTTATGAATATATAGAAACAGCCTTTTCACAGGACTCTTCATTCAGCAATCCTTCTTGGTTTATTATGGTCATATAGACACATCTTAAAGGGGAATTCCACCAATTTTTCAAAATTTTCATTTCTGCATCATTGAGTGAGATGTAAACAGAGTGACTCAGAGTGGTTTGGTGTGAAATGGTTCAGATGTCTTTACAGTGGTGGTGATAGGAACCAGGGGTCGCCATGACTACAACACAAATATAGACATTTTATTTACTATCCAGAACCACCAGTGAACCTGCACGAGTCTTCTGAGTTTATATGGAATGTTGATGATGGGAAAAACAGGTTTTCTTTGGGGACTATTTTGCCTCACAGTGTCCTGCATGTGTCCCTCCACCACGAATGGATTTTTAAGACAGACATCAGGCAGTGAATTCATAACCATTTCATGTAGTAACTTTCTGTGAGGGAGCTTTTAGAGGTGGACGTCTGGTTCCTATCACCACCACTGTGAACAGCTCTGACTCGGTAAGTTTCTCTAGAACAGACCGTTTCACCCCAAACCACTCTGAACGACTCTGTTTACATCTCAACCATTTAATTATGTAGAAATTCTGGAAAATCTGTGAAATTATCCTTTAAGTACTCCAGATATTTATCTTATGTTTTGCTTTAGACTAAAGACGATGTAACTGGCTTGTGTGTCTTTGCACTGATGTCTTGTTTCTGACATTTGCAGATGTGTAAACATGTACATACCTGTGTAAATGAAACCATGTAAAATATTTTTTGTGGAACTATGAATAGAAAGTTTCTCAGAACGTTGATGTAGAAGCTGTTGTGGTGTTTAAAATAAACAAACTTTTGAAGATTTTTTTTTTTTCCTTTCTTACCAAATTTAGTTCAACTTATTTAAATTTATTTGTTCCTATTAGATAGCATGTTATTTTTTTTACATATATATATATATATCCATCCATCATCTAAACTGCTTATCCTTCTGGGTCGCGGTGGGGTGCTGGAGCCTATCCCAGCTGTCATTGGGCGGAAGGCAGGATACACCCTGGACAGGTTGCCAGTCCACCGCAGGGCAGACAGACAGACAGACACACTCACACCTAGGGGCAATTTAGCACGTCGTGTCTTTGTGGGTTTCTAGATAGATAGATAGATAGACAGACAGACAGACAGATAGATATAGATATACACCAATCAGCCATAACATTCTGACCACCGCCTTGTTTCTACCCTCATTGTCCATTTTATCAGCTCCACTTACTATATAGGTGCACTTTGTAGTTCTACAGTTACAGACTGTAGTCCATCTGTTTCTCTGATACTTTGTTAGCCCCCTTTTACCCTGTTCTTCGGTGGTCAGGACCCCCATGGACCCTCACAGAGCAGGTACTATTTGGGTGGTGGATCATTCTCAGCACTGCAGTAACACTGACGTGGTGGTGGTGTGTTAGTGTGTGTTGTGCTGGTCTGAGTGGATCAGACACAGCAGTGGTGCTGGAGTTTTTAAACACCTCAGTGTCACTGCTGGACTGAGAATAGTCCACCAACCAAAAATATCCAGCCAACAGCGTCCTGTGGGCAGCGTCCTGTGACCACTGATGAAGGACTAGAGGATGACCAACACAAACTGTGCAGCAGCAGATGAGCTATCGTCTCTGACTTTACACCTACAAGGTGGACTGACAAGGTAGGAGTGTCTAATAGAGTGGACAGTGAGTGGACACAGTGTTTAAAAACTCCAGCAGCACTGCTGTGTCTGATCCACTCAGACCAGCACAACACACACTAACACACCACCACCACGTCAGTGTTACTGCAGTGCTGAGAATGATCCACCACCCAAATAGTACCTGCTCTGTGAGGGTCCATGGGGGTCCTGACCACTGAAGAACAGGGTAAAAGGGGGCTAACAAAGTATCAGAGAAACAGATGGACTACAGTCTGTAACTGTAGAACTACAAAGTGCACCTATATAGTAAGTGGAGCTGATAAAATGGACAATGAGCGTAGAAACAAGGAGGTGGTCAGAATGTTATGCCTGATCAGTGTATATATATACATGTAACTGGTAAAGCTGCATATTCAGTCTGGGATGTAAACAGCTGGTTACTTTGCAGATGAAAGTAGACATGAAGTTTGATGAACATCAGCCTAGATATTATTAGTTCTGCTTATCCTTTTCTCTGACATGCATGTTTGATTCAGCTTGATCTAAACACGCTTTACTAAAATTGGTGCTCAGATTTCTATTTAAAATTATCTGTTAAAATATGATCCACTTTCTTACAGATGAAACATCTGATCTAAATGTTTTTTTATGCAAAAACAGTGCAGTGATGACTGGACAAAAGAGCACCTGAACCCAAGCAGTTTGTTAGTTGACTGTGCATTAGTTTTAAGCGAGTGTGTTTATGTTTATTCACTGCATAATTCACATTTACAATTTCTTTAAAAATAACACACACTGTGGAATAATCAGAAAATATATAATTTTGTATTTGTATGAATATGATCAGAGAATACATTCACACAAAATGATATATTTTCTGATTATTCCACAACACAAAAAATACAAAGTGCATCACAGAAAAAACACAACACAGATTAAAATACAAAATAAAAATAATGACATTTTAAAAATCATGAATGATCATGAATAAAGCATGTAAATGACTGAGAACTGGAAAATATCTGTGCACGTATTAATGTTATTGTGCTCGAATATACCTGATTCCACTCACTGAATGCTACATCAGTAACTAACAGAGAAACTGTGTATATTTATATACACGCTGTCCCAAAAAATTGACATTGACATCATTTGAGATGTGATTATCTGAGTAACTGCATGTCCTGGCAAACGATGTAGATTTTATACCCGATTTCACAAAACTTCACAAATGTAATACCTTCCGATACTGGTCGTCGTCCAGACCCCTTTGTCCTGCACAGACAGCCTTCCTCTTTGAGTTTTTGTGCCGTGTCCAAATCTGCTTTCCAGTTGGTACATTTTTAGTGAATTTTCTAAAAAATGCTGCTGCACTCTCGTTTGACTGTGTTCGGGCATATTCTAACACACTAAATGCCTTTTCATTTCTAGTGAACGCCATTCTTCAAGTCAAGTAAAGTCAAGTCAGCTTTATTGTCAATACTACAATATGTACAGGACATACAGAGCATTGAAACTGCATTACTCTCAGACCTCATGGTGTAGCAAGAACATTAAATAGACAGTAAACAGGAAAAGTGTGAATTAAATAGACACTAAAAAAATACTGAACACTAACCGTAAAAAATGAACACCAATTGTAGCAAAGTAGAACAATAAAAAATAATATAAATATATGAAGGTCCTGAAATTAACACTGAAGTGACATAAGGCACATACAGATTAAGGTCTGTGGGTATAAATAGAGCAAATATAAACAGTAGTGCAACCTGAAAAAAAAACAAAAAAAAAAAACAGTCAACATTAAACTAGGTTAGTTTTTACACATTTTGTTTAAAATCTGAGATCATTTAAGGGACAATTGGCTGTTATTAGACTACCAAATGATGTCAAGTTGTTGGGGGGCACCCTGTATTATTTGCAAATACTTCTCTTCAGCCACAAAAAAAGTTTTAGTTTTAATTTTTTGATAATACTACATACATTTTTTTTACTTTTAATTTGTTGTGGTACATTGAACTTTTGGGATTTTTTTTTAATATATATTATTATTATTGTATAATTTTATTTGTATTTTGTCCGTGTACGTCGTGCAGTGCTGGGCTTTTATCTTGAAGTGAAGTGAGATCCGGTTTGCTGCCTTCGCTTCACTGGGTTTAAACTGGGCGTGTTTGGAATCAGCTGACATATTTAGACCGGATATTTGCGAACAGGGTTTTTTTTGGTCCATGTACTGCAGAATTTCGCCCCGTCTTATTTACTTATTTATCCACGGGAGACTCGGATCTGATAAAAAAGCCGAACTGTTACTTTATGTGTTCAGTTAACCACCATATCGTAACAAAGAGACTTTTATTTTGTAATATTCTGCCCATAGGCGTATCGGTGGATCCGCGCGTCTCCACTGTTGTTATTCCGGCTGATCGCCAGTCGGTGTTTATTAATCTGTTTAACCGAGATTATTTAATAATAGTCTGTGTTAAATTAAAAGCTGTAAACGTTTCTCAGGATGATCCCGACCGAGGACGCGTCCGCCAGGAAGAGGGAGATAGAGGAGAAGCTCAAACAGGTCTGTGAACTGAAGGGCAGGGCGGGGAAATTTCTCAATTTTAATTTAAACTATAGATCAATACGCAGGGATATACAAGCATTCTGAAAATACACGTGATTGCTTATGGAAATATAAGCATTTTGTGGTCCACTGTTTCTTCATTACAGTACAGGACCGTTATAGTTGTCTACGGGCCATATGTTCTGCAATAAAGGGCCTATATTCCACCTTTTTGTTGCGCTGGTACGAGTGGATCAGACACAGCAGTGCTGCTGGAGTTTTTAAACACTGTGTCCACTCACTGTCCACTCTATTAGACACTCCTACCTTGTCGGTCCACCTTGTAGATGTAAAGTCAGAGACGATAGCTCATCTGCTGCTGCACAGTTTGTGTTGGTCATCCTCTAGTCCTTCATCAGTGGTCACAGGGCGCTGCCCACAGGACGCTGTTGGCTGGATATTTTTGGTTGGTGGACTATTCTCAGTCCAGCAGCGACACTGAGGTGTTTAAAAACTCCAGCACCACTGCTGTGTCTGATCCGCTCAGACCAGCGCAACACACACTAACAGACCACCACCACGTCAGTGTTACTGCAGTGCTGAGAATGATCCACCACCCAAATAGTACCTGCTCTGTGAGGGTCCATGGGGGTCCTGACCACTGAAGAACAGGGTAAAAGGGGGCTAACAAAGTATCAGAGAAACAGATGGACTACAGTCTGTAACTGTAGAACTACAAAGTGCACCTGTATAGTAAGTGGAGCTGATAAAATGGACAATGAGTGTAGAAACAAGGAGGTGGTCAGATTGTTACGCCGGTGTATATATGCATATATGTATGTATGTATGTATGTGTGTGTGTGTCTATATTCTGTATATATACAGAGGATGGCATGTTTTCAGACTTTACTGTTTAAATTCTATGAAGTCTCATTCCAATAAAACAAAGGAAATTAAGTTATGTGCATATTTATTTGGGCCTTTTAAAGCATAAAGGCAAAATGATGAGATCATTAAACTTACATGCCATTTTGCTTGACATCTTCAGGTTAAGCATTGGATGTTCAGTGTTTTGTTTGTGTGAAATAAGGTAAATGATAATTGTGCTTTAATGTTTTTTGTTTGTTTGTTTTCTTTTTTGTTTTGTTTTTGTTTTTCTAAAAACAACTGAACCTCAGGAACAAGAAACACTGTCCTTTATTCGAGAGAATCTGGAAAAGAGTGACCAGCTGACTAAAGGAATGGTAAGAGATCATGAAATCGTGTGTGTATTACTTACTTTGTGGGGACATGTGTGTCTTCTCCATGATGAAAAAAGCATAATTTCCACCAAAAACTGCAGCTTTTATTAGGAAAAGAAACACAAGCAGATCTGATCTTTTGCATGCTGAGGTTAAAGGGCCAGTTGGGCCTAAAACTAGTATTTATTATGTTATTTGTCACGTTATGTATTATTCTGCATCATTGCACTGCTCAGCTTGTTCAGTTTGACAGAATTTATTTTTTTTTCTGTCCTCTTTGCATTCATCAGTGTTCTGTTACTACAATACCCAGCATGCATTATGCAATTACATCATCCAACCATTTGGAATGTCTCTCATAGTGATCAGCCCTTGTAGTGGCTAAAATCAGACCA